GGAAAAATATCGACACCCTTTTGGAAAAACAGCCTTGTCCAACCCCTCCTCTCCAACAGGGTTCGGACGAAGGGTCGTGGAGTGATGTACGGAAGCCCATAGAGCGTATTACTCAGGACAGAAAGGAGAGCCGGAAGCTCATTGATAAGATATTCTTTTGGTGAGTAGCATATTGGCAAGTCAGCGGGTACCGTGACTCATATATGTTACAGGCGCAAGCCCTCAAAACGAACAAAGAAAGGCAAATCATCCAATATATAAACTGTAATTCATTCTCCTGGGAATAGGGTGCCTTATGCTCATCACTTGAGAGGCATCTCAATGCCCCATCAATCGAACTGCTCCTACTCACGACGATAGAAGTTGGGATTCCACCTCGTTCTGATTGTGTGATTGCCCATTGGCTGCACTAATATAATTCCAACACGCCTAGGGCTCTGATTAGGGAATATTCCTGAGGGACCTGTGGCTCAGGATCCAGGGTGTAGGATCGAAGCATTGGACGACTGAGGCTTGTCCTCACGTCCCACTACCAGCTTACACGCCGATATCTCCCCCAGATTATCTTCTGACCAGACCTTCATTAGCAATAAATTACTGTGCCGGTTGTTAGCTCTCCTTGGATTCTACCCGCGACTAATATCCTTTCGTACAACTGATGACGAATGAATGATCATAATGTAATCCACCTATAACTCTGCTTTTTTCGCTCAATCTACGGGTAGTACCATATCTTCATCTAGATTAATATAGCCAATTCATGCCAAAAGCGAGACGTCAATTATTGGGCCATGAATCGACCTTCGTCTCGACCAACGCCAACCTTTTACGATTGGAGGGATCAAAATCGGACTAGGCTTGCTTCTCGTAATATGGTTAACGTCTGGAAGGTCCTTATTAAGGATAAGTCGCGACTTCCCATGTTCCTTCCGGAATTATACGGCTGTTCATATTGACATCGCCTTGAATCTTTGACAATGCACCTGCACTGAAATGGAGGGACAACGTTGTTTTATTTGTGGCTGTTTCATTCACGGCTGGTCGTCTTATTCGTTAACTTGCAGCGTGTCTTCGGCGTGATGCAGTTTCTCACCTCAACCACCTGTAAATCCATTGACCTCATCGACGACGCTCTTATTTATAGCATTTGATCGCTATTTCGTTGGGATATACTCTAACGGCAACAAGGATGAAGCCACGCCGAGGAGACAAAGTCATTGTGTACGTCGGCTTCTGTCCATCACCGCGAGCCAAGCTACTTACTGAGCTCTTGCAGGCTCATCGGGAAGACTGGAGTCGGCAAAAGCACTGTAAGTCTTTTTTATTTCTGAGCAATCATCCACCTATTCAGTGACCCGTGTAGTTCATTTATCATGCGACTGGGAAAAACCACAAGTCCATCAACAAACGCTCGCTTATCCCCTCTATAGAAGGCGTCGAATTCGTTCAATCCAACCCATCGGTAGGAAGACCTCCTGTCACCTTCATGGATACCCCCGGTCTGGATGCTTCAGCGGATTCGGATGCAAGGACTCTAAGCGAGATAGCTCTGCAACTTCAACAGCTGTAAGTTAGTTCATTTACCGTTCATTAGGTCTCTAATTAAGGCGGTAGTTATCGAGATAAAATACCCATTGCCGGGATCTTGTACCTCTGTCGAATATCCGATAATCGTTTTAACAAATCGTCAATTGATACTCTCAAATTAGTTGCGGAATTATGCGGTCAGCAAGCAATGTCAAACCTAGTTGTTGTCACCACCATGTGGAGCGAGGTCCCAGAGAAAATTGGAGGGAAGCGCGAAAAACAACTAAAGGAGGAGTTTTGTAGAGAGATACTGGGTGAATGTCAAATGGCCCGATTTACCAATGAACCACAATCCAGTTGGTCGATAGTCGACCGCTTATTGGGGGAGTCTCCTGCTCCGCCGCTTACTATACAAACGGAATTAGAAGACAAGAAATTGCCTATCCACGAAACTAGAGCTTCAATCCAGCAGAAAAATTCGAAACAAGTCATACCTGGAGGTCTATTGAGTCGATTACGGAAGCTTTTCAAGAAGAAGTAAGCACCTCAAAATTCGTATTGATGTGTGGCTGATCCATATAAATAATACAGATCTTAAAACTATCTCTCTGTGGCCGAGTAATTTATCTACCAATGGCTATCCTTGTCGATCAGCGTCGACTGCCACATCTAGCGTTTACCATCCTAAGGTCGTGGATTTGTAGTACATGCTTTTGAAGCTTCTGTAGCTATTTAGCCCGAGAACGTCTCGGTATGCACGCTCTTTATATGTCCTCGCCGTACAGTTTGAAAAGCCTGCACACTTCTCCGGATATGGACCTAAATCAGTCGCTAAATGGTGAATTCAGCCAAGAACCATCCGAAGATGTTAATACTCGCGTTAATATGCATTAAATACAATGATATAAATATCCCAAAGTCCTTTGCCCGAATGTTTGGCTCTGTTAGTATGGAGGAGGTGCAATCCAAGCCTTTTCGGGAGGCATGGATAGCCTTCCTAGTTTGTCGATCAAGCTAGTCAATATCTCCACCGTCTCAGGATTTCCCAAGTAACTTTGAAACATTAGTCAACGCTTAGAGTTGTGTAGGATACATACGTTTCCGACTGAGTTGTGATCTTTGCCCGTTCCTCTTCTGTCCAGTCTGTTGCAGCGACGGCTTCTAAACCCGACTTGACATTGAGCCGAAAGTATACCCTCTCCTCGTCTTCATGATATGATGCACTAATCTGTTGATGTTGCCTCTCGCAGTCCTTGGCTATCCTCAGCATGACGTCGTAGAGTTGCTTGGCCCGTTCTTCTTTAACATTACGACCAAATAGTCCTTTGAAATGCTCCCAGTATGACTTTGCCTCGTCGTCTCCATCATCAGTTTTCAATGAAATAGGGTACTCGCTCCCACATCCTATGCTCACTACGCAACCAATCTCTGGAGGGGGTTTATTGCCGACTCGAAGGTAAAACCCTTCTTTCTCTCTGTAGACTAGGGTGACAGGGTTGTTCGCAACCAGCTCAGCATCGACAAAAACCTGCGGTGAAAAAGAAGGCCCTATGGAGATGGGTTCGAATAGTAAGATGGATGCTGTAGTCGCTCGAATTGCTTCCCAGATCTTGCAGTTGTCATCTTGATTTGCTCTTACTCTATAGGTCCTGAGAAGAGCAGGAGGTCC